CTCTATTTCCACATTTGTCAAACAAATCTCTTGGATTGAGAGGTTTTGAAGTTTCTTTCTAATTCTGACATTCTACAAACTTGCTGTAAACTTCATGCTATCTTTAATAGTATCTTTATTTAACACCAAGATACTTACTATTTGGCTTCCTCCATTTGCCCTGGAAGGTACCATTGTCTACTGAAAGAACAGCTGAAGGGGTCAACATGAAGGAGTAAGGAAAGTCATTCTATTTAAGTGATGCAGTTAGAAAAGGCTTCTCCCACCACCAGCTGCTCAATATGAGGAGGGGAGGATTTTCAAAATAGATAGGAGGAAGAGGGGGACAGATACCTTGCCCTTGTATCTCTGACACTAAAGGATGTTATAGTGCCCTCTGAGAGGGGAGAGAAAGCTTGTTGCCTGGACTGGCAGAACGATATTTTTCTCTTTGTCATGAAAATGGATCTACAACTGACTCCTAGTCCTTGCATGGATGCCATGCTTTCTCCAAGTTGTCAGCACATGCTTTGTAATGGGTCTGCTTGGAGAGTTCACCTATAGCCTAAAGCATATATCTAATCGAGCCTGAAAAAGAAAGAAGAAATGAAGAAGACCAATTTCCTAAGAATGATTATGGTCTCTTAGGGAGGTAAGAATCACACAAATGAAATAATTAACCAACAAGGACCCACTGTATAGCACAGGGAACTATCCTCAATATTTTGTAATAACCTATAAGGGAAAAACCTGAAAAAAATAGATATATATGTATAATTGAATCACTTTGCTGTACACCTGAAACTAACACAACATTGTAAATCAACTATACTTCAATTTTAAAATAAATAAATAAAAATAAAGAACAATAAAAGAGAATAAGCATTGTTTTCCTATTGCTGCCATAGCAAATTATCACTACTTTAGTGGCGTAAAACAATACAGACTTATTAACTTACACTTCTGTAGCTAGAAGTCCCACGTCCAACATGGCTCTCACTGTTCTAAAATCTTGGCAGGTTTGTGTCCGTTCTGGAAGCTCTAGAGGAGAATCCATGTCCTTCCCATTTCCTGTTTCTAGTGGCCACCCGTGTTCCTTGGCTCATGGCCCCTTCCTCCATTTTCAGAACCAGTAATAGCGACTTGAGTCCTTCTCACATTACCTCACTCCAACCTCTGCTTCCCTCTTCTACTTGGAAGGAGCCTTGTGATTTTACTGGGCTCACCTGGATAATCCAGGCTAGTCTCCCCATCTGAAAGTCCTCAATTTAATCGCATCTTTAAAGTCTCCTTTGCTGTGTAAAGTAGCAAATTTGCATTTCCAAGGATTAGGATGTGGTTGTCTGGGGGCAGGGGTCCTTATTGTACCTACCATAATAAGTAAATGTTGGGCTGACTGGCAAGGACAGTGAATGCTGGGGCTTGGAGAAAGAGGCAGCCGTGGGCTGGAGCACTGAGGAAGTCGCCCAGAGCAGGTGGGCCAGAGCCCGAAAGTGGCTAAATAGAGGGGAGGTAACAGAGTGCCTGAAAAGAGAGTGCATCTAGTGGGGTGTGGGGCAGGGGGTGAGGAGACCACTCTTTATATCATGTGCCATCCTCTGTCCCTCTTCTTGAGAATGGTACCTCCCTGAATCTACAACCTGTATGGCTGGCTGCATTGAAATCTCAAGTATCAGATGTTCCTCCTCTAGCAACTTCCAGTTTGCGTTCTTCAATATTCCTGTTCATATGTGCTACAGAGCAAGGGGGGCTATTGAGCGAACTGTTGTCACATTTGGTGAAACTCCAGTAGAGGTGGGAAACGGACTGCTTTGTATCACATAACTCCAGGCCTTGACGGGTTATTGGTTAGGATGCAGTTAAATCCTGAAGTTGGTGCTTGAACTTTGAGCCCCATCCCTTAGATACTTCTACTAGATCCCTTTGACAATAACCAAACAACAAGGCTTTTAATTAAGTGAGGATTGTATTAAAGCCCACCTGAAAAAACTCACTTTATTTTTATAACCTGTATCCAGTATTTAATGATGCATGCAGGTGGGCAGGCAATAGGGAATTGTTAACACATGGAAGATGCACGTGAGCCCCGGGACTTCACTGCTTGAACTTGGAGAAACTTTCTAATGTGCCCGTGCTCCCAAGAGACATGTGATCATTATTTAGGCGTCAGGCTCCTGGAGCTTTGATGTATGATTCCCTGATCCCTCGATGGGAATGCCAACTGCCATTAGAGCCTAGAACCAAGAATACAACATCAGTGGATTTTTAGGTTAGGCAAGGAATGAGAAAGGCATTTATGGCAGAAGGAAGGAATGGGATATCGTGTCTGTGGGGTTTTCCTGGCCTCTCATTCTTGGAAAATAAAAGGCCTAGCTTATTTTCCTGTAGCATAGAGGTGACTTGACCTGGAAGGCTGCTTTTAATCTTTTTTAATCTCTTAATCATTTATGGGAAAGTATCATATAATAAACCTCATAGAAAAATCTCAATTAATTTCCCAAGTCAAAAATTAATAGATACTACTTTCTCAAACCTCAGTGCAAAACCTGGAACTGAATAAGTGAAGCATAGTTTTAAAAGTTATTCTAAATTTTAAAATACTCTTTTATACAACTTCTGAGTCAAAGTGAAAATCAAAACAAAAGCTATAGACTATTTTAAATATGCAATCTTTATATCTTGTAAACATGTCAGTGGTTACAGATGAACTCAGAGAACGAAATCCTAGCATTACATAGTTTCATAATTTACTTATTAACTCAACAAATATTTATTGAGCGCCTATCATGTTCTATGGAATTTTCTAAGTTCCAGGGATATTGCCAAGGATACATGTAACTTCCCTCATAGAGTTACATGCTGGTGGAAGGACATAGACAAAAAAAGAAAAAATAATAAATATATAATATTTTAGATAGTAGTAAGTTCTATGAATAAAAAATTAAGCTGAATAATCAGGTGATAGTAATCTGAGAAGGAATGTACTTTTGTATATGGTGGTCAGGAAAGTCTTCTCTGAGGTGGTTCGTCAGAGTTCTAAAGGAAGGGAGGGAATCAGGCATACAGACTTTTGGGGAACAGCATTTTAAGCAAAAAAATAATTAAAAATAAATAAGTGCAAAGACCCTGAGGAAGCTGGGAATGAAACAAGCGATGGGTTATTTTGCAAGAGAGCAGAGACATGATATGACTCAGATCATGTAGTACCTCAGACCCACAGGGAACCAGAGAGTTGACTACAAACACAAAAGAGAAGAAGACTTAACTCCTCATTTAATAAATATTTACTGAATGCTGCCTTGTGCCAGGCATACTGTTCAGTGTGTAGGGGATTCAGCAATGAACAAAATAGCCATATTCCTATCTATGTGGAACTTAACATTGTTTACATAGGATGGGATACATATGATAAATTAACTAAAATATATGCTATGATGGTAGTAAGTAGCAAAGAGGTAAAAAGAAAAAAGCAAAGAAGGGTTAGGGTGGCTTGGCAGGTGAGGGACAGTATCAGAAAGGTTAGCCAGGGTAGGTGATATTTGAATAAATATCTGGAGGAGGTGGGGCCATGGGATAAGAGCATTCTGCAGAGAGGTACGAGCAGGTGCAAACACTTGAGGGGGTCGGTGCTGGTGGATATAGAATGAGGGGTAGTAAGAAGGCCAGTGTGAGGTGGTGAGAGGAGAGGAAGGGAAGATGAACTTGGACCTTGTAAGCTATTGCAATGCCCCAGGTGTTTACTCTGTGAGATGGGGACTCAGTGGAGTATTCTGTACCTAAGGGAGATATGGTCTGATCTACCTTTGCAACTAAAGTTGGGCTACTGTGTTGAATACAGACTGAATGGAAGCAAGGGTCATAATTCTGTGTGCTTCTGAGGAAATAATAAAGTCAGTGAGTAGAAGGGGATGACTTTTCCAATTAAAGAATCCCACTTAACTGACTGTCTACCAGTAAAACTGGCTGCCCAGTAACCTTGGAAGTTATAGTCAGCAGTTGGTCACCAGCATTTCCAACAGATGCCAGGGATGTTGATGCTGTGAAATTCCTATATCAAATAAGCCTTTACATCCTATGATATCCCAGATTCCTTCTAATACTAAGCATCTCCGATTCTACAGCATGTATCACCTCAATCTCCCCCAGTTAGAATATAAGCTCCATGAATGCAGGGGGTTTTGTCTGTTCTGTTCATTGCTGTGGTCCTGGAGCTCAAATAGGGTGAAGCATATAGCAGACACTCAATGATTATTTGTTAAATATAGGAATGTCTCTGTTAAACTTATTGCAGGACCTGAGCAACGCACTTTTCTTCTCTGCACAGCAGAGAGTAAAAAGTTGGATTAGATGGCATCTGATTATCTTTCCAGGTCTGCCAGTGTGTGATTCCCTTTCAAACTGTGAGCCGTTGTTCTAACGGGCTTTTCAGGCTATGGGGTGTATGAAGGGGTGCTGTTGGGAGGAAAGGCAGGGATGGGTAAGGGCAAACCTGAGTCAAGGAGAAGAGAACAGATAACTTCTGGGGCTGGGGACCAGGGCACTCTCTGAAAATAAATGTGAATATCTCTTTGAGATACACAGGGTTCTAATTCCAGTAAAGGTGTTTCACTAGACACTGAGGATACAGGATACCGAGGATCCACCCCAAACATGGTATCATTGCCTCGTTTGAGCCCGCCTGGTCAACAGAATGTCACAGGTCCCTGAGGTTCTCATGGGATAAACAGCATAAATAGCAGCAACACTCCTTTTAAATGTATTGAAAATACATTTTTTATCTTGATGAAGTGCACAAATGAGAACATTTCTTTAAAGAGAGAGTTCCATTGAGGCTCAGCATTACTAGGCATCTCCAGACACCCACAAGGCAGCGATTTCATGTGCCCCTGAGGTTTAGCAGAGCAGCCAACAGGTTGACTGACAGGGCCCAGATTTTCTACCAGATAAGCCAGTGAGATATGCGTCATATTTATTGAATACAGAATCGAATATATTGATAAAAAAGATGAACACTGGGTAGCTGCAATGATTTTATTCTGCATTTAGTTTATTTCAAACAAAAGAAGTGTTTTCAATGTCAAGAAGCATGCATACATGGGTGTCTTCTAGGCTATTTTTTTTGTAAGTTGCTTTCATTGCAAACTAAAAGAAGTAGAGTTCAGCTTCATAGCGACCTAGGAGAAAAAAGAAGTAACAGCTATTACTTACTAGTTAAGAGGCTCTTGTCATGTATTATCCCAATTACTTTTTATATTGATGATACTATTGTTGCCTTCAAGTTAGATGTGGAAGCTGAGGCTCAGAGAGGGTCTAGCCCATGTCGTATAATTAGTAGAGGACAGACACAGGATTTGAACCCAAGTCTATACTCTGAATTCAGATGTATATGACACTGTAGAGTATCCTCCAAAAGGATAGGGTAATTACCTTTCAAACTCAAATGCTAGGATAATCACAATTATAACCCAGGGAACTGTGTTTTAAATAAATAGGATCTATATTTCCTGAAGGATCTCAGTGGCACAGGGAGAAACTGGAAAAACAGAGAGAAATGAATCCAAGTTTTAGGGGTTTCAGCTGTTGGGACTGTCTGTTCCTTCTTCAGACACTGGTGTGGGTGCCTTCCCCTGTGGATTTTTCACCCATATGAACCCACAGAGGATTAGAGTGTGGACTGCACCCCTGCAATACCCAGTCATTTATCCTCCCACCTGACAGTACAAAGGGCAGTCACCTTCTTCCTAGAATCATTTCGCTGCTCAGATCCAAAAGTTCCTGCGACGGCCACCAAAGACTTTGAAGCCCATCTTGGTGGGCAACATGTTGCTCTTCACCATGCTCCCAGATCTGCTCAGCAAGCCTGCCAGCCGATGGGTCGTGCAGGTTGCAGTGTTGCAGGCTCTCTTCCGGGCAGTGATGCTGATTTGCAGGATGGAGAAAAAGAAAAAACCTGTTAGTGAGAGCTTGAGTGCAGGTGCTGCCCCACAGGATCATCATGGAAAATTACTGCTCTCAGAGGCACCAATAAACCTTAAGTACTTCTGCTAGAAACGGTCATCACAGCAGAAAATCATAGGCCATTAGGGAAAATGCCACAATCACTCCCCATACACATTTCCAGGGGTGTCAGAAAACCCAAAGGTGCCTCTGGGATATGCTTTCCTGAGCATGAAGGAGGGAGCGGATGCCCTGTGCTGGGTGCGGCAGGGAGTCTCACCTGGAGCCCCGTGTCTTCTGCTCCTTCTCCAGCTCACGGGCCCTCATCTGCTCATAGTCATTCACCATTGCAGCCAGTAGGAGGCGGAATTCCTCCTCATTGAGTGTAGCAGGATCAAAATGACTATCAAAAGCCAACCTAGGGAGGGGAAGCAAGCCCAATACAGGCTTTGAGCCCCTGACTACCCCCTCCCCAGGATAAGCAGCCAGGTTTCCTGGTTTCTGCAACTTCCCCTGAGGATGTGGCTGCCCCAGCTCTCAATGGACAGAGCATGAGGTCAGTATCCATCCAAAAATTCTGCTTCACCAGAATTTAGGCTCTGGTGTGACCTAAAAGAAGTAGTTTGCTCCAAGTGGATCATATAGGCTTGTGAAAGCTGGTGGTTAGATTTTCAAGAATTTTATGAGCTTAGTGTTGAATACAGCCATTATTAAAAATTAAGTGATAATGATAGTTTGAATCTGAAAATCATTTCACTTTAATGTAATTTGAGGGTGAGAAATTAAATGTATAGGTAACATATCAGATTTAATAACAAATAACAAATTTATTGGCAAAGAGGTTAGAAGATAGGATGTAATCTGTTTCTCAAATTGCGGTTATATTAGTAAATAGGTTTGCTAAAAATACAAATATTTGGTAAAAAGCAATGTTATATGAAATTTACAATAACCAGTACTGTATATCTTATGTGTGTTTGTACATATCTTTGTCTCATAAACAGTTTATGATAAACTTATATATACGTTTACATTCATACATTACCACCACCACCACCCCACCCACAACCCCACCAAGAGCCAGATTCAGCACAGCACAACTGAGAACAGAATTTTATGATCCAGGGACAGAGGGAGGTGGGAGTGCTCCTGGCAGGGCTGTCTCACCTGAATGGCGATGAGTGGAGCACGCCTGCCTGGTACAAGACCAGGATGCTGAGGACCAGGAAGGGGGGGAACTTCCAGAAGACCATGACGACTCTCTGCAAGGGAAGAATAACATCAGCACCTGGAGAATAACAATTTCCATGAGCCCACAGACCCAGGCTCTGTTCCTGCCTCTGCCCCTAACTCCCGGGCGTCCAGCTTCAGGCTGGACATGTCACTCCACTTCACCATCGTTTCCTCCTCTACCAGGTGGACTGCTGGAAGATCCAGTAAGCCTGCAGCATGCTTGGTTTAGCAAAGAAACCTAGTGGGACAACTGGGTGAGGAGATCTTAGTCTATAGCCCCCACCCCATCACTCCACTCACTCTCACATACAACCTGTTGGCCAGGACTCCTGGAGGACAGAGTCCGAGTACCTGTCACCACAGCTTTTCCCACTGTGCAACCCAGAGCTGTCCTCCTGGTGCCGGGCTTTTGCACATACATGGAGGGGGGAGGGGATTACCGAGGACAAATTTCTGCCGTTGGAATCCCTGAGAAACTGAAGAACCACATTCTACTGCTCAGCTGCTCCACACTTTGGTAGAGAGTGCCCTGTAAGAATCAAGCTGGAAGGGTCTCAAATTGGAACCCAGGACTTAAACTGGGAAAAAAGTTCCCAGAACCCGCAACGGGGGCTTGCGTTTAAAGGCTGCCTGCCCCTCAGTCACTGCACCTATTTGGCTCCCGCTTGCGCTGGCCCAGGTTCTGAAGCATTTCCCGCGGTCCGCTAGGCACAAGACGTGATCCGTGAGAGCACCATCTGCACAAAACTATTCCTGCGTCCAGATCTGCTTGCAGTGCCAGGGGAGCTCCAGCATCCCAAACTGACCTAAGCACGTGTGCTTCGGGAAAGGAAACTGGAGCCCGCCTCAGCGCGGGGAGAGTGAAGCAGGGAGTGCGTGAACTGAGACCATCCAGTGTTACCTGTGGAAGACGCCTGGGATGCATTGCAGAGTAGTGCAGGTTGTGTGAAATGACCTAGACAGAAGTGGACAGAGCCTTTGAGACTGGAAGAGATCAGCTAAGAAAAAGTAATGGAGAGAGAGAAGGAAGAGAGGGGAGAGAGAGAAAAGCAGAATCCCAGCTAAGCAGGAATCTCCAGGCTTACCTGGCAGCAGGAGCCAGGTGGCTTGGAGCAGAGGAGGGAGCAGTGGCAGTAGCTTTGGCTTCAGGCGATGGCACGGTGGCAGAAGTGGCAGTGACACTCGAGCTGGGCAGTGCGTCTGATGCCTCCCAACACCAGCAGCTGCTCTTATTCCCGCTGCTCTGGGTCTGGGGTGGTCCAGGAGCTCTGGGCAGCCAATGAGGGGAAGGATCTGAGCCCCAGAAGGATTGTGTCATCACTTGCGTCCAGAACCTGGAGCATCCAGAAGGACCACCCCACTTGTATTTGCATTGAGGTCATTGACGGCGGGGGCGGGAGGGGGACGTGGGGGGGTTGGTGAGGACCAACGAAAAACACAGGAAAAGTGAGTAGGAATTTGAGGACAGTTTGACGTCATGGTTAACTTCACCTGTTCGGTTTCGCAGGTTTTGAACACGTACGTGTCCCACTCCATCCCCAACTGTGAGATCTTGTCGGGCAGAGTCCAGCATTACAAGGAATGCTGTCTCCCCTAGGTCTGACCGCAGACCTCCGTGCAAGTGCAGCTTTGAGGGTTAATGCACAGTAGAGTTGATGATTCTGTGCCCAAGCAGGGGGTCTGATTCAGGCAGCTGGAATCACGAAAAGGAGGGCAGGGTTTGTGGGTATCAGACACAGAGGATCAAAAACTTTGTCACACTGGAACTCTGTTGCAGCTGTTCCTTTTCCAGGTGGAAACATCGTGGGCTAGTAACTTCTAGTGCCTCAGTATACTTATCTATGAAATGGGGATCATATTCTCATCTTGAAGGAAAGTTATCATTACTAAGTGTGTACCTGTTATCTGCCCAGGTAGGGATCTAGAAGTGCTTACCAGGGAAGTTCATAGGGGATTCTGTGGGATCGCAATCCATCTTCCCAATCAGCACCCTGTGCAGCTGCCTGGAGTCATGTTGGTTGGTCCATCATGTGGGTTAATTGGGGGCTGGATGCCCTGCTGGGCCTGAGCACGCAAGTGCAAGGCTAAAAGCTTCCAAGTGGACCTCTAGCCCCACGCCTCCTCCCCCACCATTCATCACCTAAAGTTCAGCCTCCTTCTGGAACCATTTGCCCAGCTGCCCCTTGCTTCCGGCTGCTGTTTGCCAAGACGTTCCAGTGACCTGTGATTCCAGCCCTGCACCCACGTCTACCGCAGTTCAGTCCTCTGCTAGAAAGCCCGCCAAGCTTGATGGTGCTGAAGAGTCCAGCGGAGTGCAATCCTCGCTCTCACTTCAGTCATACACTGCACACACACAAACTCAGTACTTTCTCCAAACATGTGCCCAGTCCCAAACCACAGGCACTCACAAAATGACACTGGCGCTCAGCGGCATCCAGGTGATGCGCTCAGTCCCGCCCTAAGTATGCGCAGAGCGGCATGATTAGGACCTGCATCCACGAAACCTGCACCGACTCTCAGTAAGTGTGCTCCGTAAAGCCCAATTACCCAGCAACCTCGACTCTCCTACACACTGCCCAGCACGTTTCTGGATCTCTCTGTCGGAGCTCCTGCTCTAAGCCTTCCAGGAAGGTCTGAGGTGCTGACTTGCCATCCTCAGCAGATAGAATGCAGAAAACGAAGCTTCTCACTGTCCGCAGTATCGCTGGGTCTGAGCACATAGCGCAAGATCCAAGCAGCCTGTACAGACCCTCCAGCGCGGCAAGCACTGCGGCGGCATCGCGGGGCGGTGGAATAAAACACGGATCCCAGGTAGCTGGTTTTCTCAGGTGGAACTGAAACTAGCCGAAACGAGCCACTAGTGACCCTAGCCACAGGTCCACGCCCCAAACCTCAGTGTCAAGAAGCTTCAGTGTTTTGTTCGACACGGCAGCTGCCTCGCGGCACATCTCTTCCCCTTGCAGGTTGGTGGTCCCCAGGCTCAGGACACCTAACTTCCAAGATGCCCTTATTCCAATTTTCTGCTTCTTAACCGCAGCGGTGGCACTGATGCAAGCGAATAAAACCTTGGGGCAGGGGAACTGGATATCTGAAACTGGCTGTCCTCAGGCAGGGCGGTCGGGGATCCGGGGAATGGAATAACCGGTTGGAAGCGCGCAAGTGCACTTGGGCGCGGAGCCGGGAAAGGCAAGATGTGCAAGGGAAGGATTCAGGATGGCGGATCGCGGGTTCAGTGCATCTTGGAGTCTCGAGGCAGAGATCGGGGGCTGAGACCCAGACCGGGGTTAGGGAACTCAGTAGCAAGACTAAATTGGCGAACGCGGCAAAGCAGATACTGTGCGGCATGTAAATTGGGCTCTGCCACTTAAGACTGTTGTTGGGGAGGCTTTAAAACTCAGGTGCAAAACGCTTCTGCCGACATGACTTCCAAGACCTGAGGTTTCTGACGTATCAATCTTCTGAAATCATTTGTAAGTACGTGTGCCGGGGAATTGCCTTTTCCTATTGAGAGAACCATTGCTTTCACCAGTGCAATGGTGATGACAAAATGGTTAAGAAAGGGCTACTTTAGAAGCCGAATTTGTAACCATGTCTCTTTGTGGGCTCAGAACTCTACCCCTGGCTGCCACGTGTGCCTTCTACCTTCAAAGCCTACATTCAGTCCCCCTTCTGAAATCTTTGGTGGTTACAAAGGGCTAGCGGTGTGAGGCAGGTTACAGGGTCTGTACCCAGAAGGTGCTAACGTAGCCTCCAGCAATTTCAGCTTTTCTTGAAAAAGTCTCCCCAGATAGCGAGGGACTGACATGAACTCATCCCTCAAGTACTCTGAATTTCTAAGGAGTCCTGGTGCTGAGCTGGGGGCAAGGTAAAAAAAAAAAAAATCTTTGGCACTTAGCAGCATGTGTTGCACACCAGGTGGCACTCACCCAATGTTTGTTAAATAATGGAAGATAATTTACTGTGGCAGATTTACCAGCCAGTCTCACCGCTATTATAGGACTCTAATCTAATCCCAGCCAGCAGAGAATAGGCACCTAGCTAAGTAGCGCAGCTTTTCAATAGGATTTCGAAATTGTGAGCTCATTTGAGACACTCTTCTCAATTTATTTGACATGCAGAGTTGGTTTCCCCATGGAAATTTCCAGGAACAAGACAGAGAAAGGAAGGTTAACCCTAGGTTCTTTCGGACGTCTAGAGTCTCCTAGTATGAGATACAAAACCATTCTCCTCTGAGCCCGTTCCTGATTTACCAAGTGAACTCAATGTTTAGACCTTACCATGTGCACCTTACTTATGTTGCATCCAGCCCTACCTGAGACTTCTTTTAACTGAAGCACTTAACAGAAATTGAGCTTGAGAAAGTCACCAAGGAAAATATTGATTTAAAAATAGTTACCTGATTATTTGGCACTTGATTGTACAGTCTTATTTCATTACCTTTTTTTTAAAATAAATTTATTTTTGGTTGCATTGGGTCTTTGTTGCTGCGCGTGGGCTTTCTCTAGTTGTGGCGAGTGGGGCTACTCTTCCTTGCCGTGTGCGGGCTTCTAATTGCGGTGGCTTCTGTTGCTGCGGAGCACGGGCTCTACGCACATGGGCCTCAGTAGTTGTTGCACGCGGGCTCAGTAGTTGTGGCTTGTGGGCTCTAGAGTACAGGCTCAGTAGTGTGGCACCTGGTCTTAGTTGCTCCGTGGCATGTGGGATCTTCCCGGACCAGGGCTCGAACCTGTGTCCCCTGCATTAGTAGGTGGATTCTTAACTACTGAGCCTCCAGGGAAGTCCCTCATAACTTTTAAACCTGGAAATCAGGTTTTAAAGTTTAAAAGGGGGAAACAATCTAGTTTGGAAAAAACATTTTTTACAACATTCTGATAAACTCTAACTGCAGTGTTTATTTCCATACTTTTAGCTTAGATTCCTGTGCTTTGTTTCAAAACTTTTTTCAATTGAGATATAGTTGATTTACAATGCTGTGTTCATTTATTCTGTGCAGCAGTGATTCAGTTTTATATATATATATGTACATATTCTTTTAAATTTTCTTTTCTATTACGGTTTATCTCAGGTAATTGAATAATCTATAGGTCCATCCATGTGGCTGCAAATGGCATTATTTCATTCTTTTTTATAGGTGAGTAATTTTGTACTATATGTACACCTTTTTAAAAAATTTATTTTAATTGAAGTATAGTTGATTTACAATGTTGTGTTAATTTCTACTGTACAGCACAGTTATTCAGTTATACATATTAATACATTCTTTGTCATATTCTTTTCCGTTATTGGTTTACACAGGATACTGAATATAGTTCCATGTGCTATACAGTAGGACCTTGTTGTTTATCCATTCTATATATAATAGTTTGTATCTACTAACCCCAAACTCCCAATCCATCCCACCCCTCCCCACCTCCCCCTTGGCAACCACAAGTCTGTTCTCTTTGTCTGTGAGTCTGTTTCTGTTTCATACATAGGTTCACTTATGTCATATTTTAGATTTCACATATAAGTGATATCATATGGTATGATATGATACTTCACCTAGTGAAGTAAGTCTTTCTCTTTTTGACTTACTTCACTTGGTATGATAACCTCTAGGTCCATCCATGTTCCTGGGAGTAGCATTATTTCGTTGTTTTTTCAGCTGCGTATCTTGTGCTTTCTTTATTGAAAAATTTTTAGAAGATGATTTATCAGAGTGTGCCAGAGACCCATATCTTGTTGAAATTCTGGGATTTTTTTCAAAAATTTTCCAGTTTTATTGAAATATAATTAACATACAGCTCTGTTGAAGTGTATGGTGTCCAAAATAATGATTTGACTTAGATGTCATGAAATGATTATCACAATAATTTTAGTGAACATCTGTCACCTCATATACATTGGTTGAGAATTATGTGAATTTCCATGCGTTTAAAAGTGTTACACCTAAAGGCTTACTCCTTTAATTCTGTACAATTTGTGTATGAAATAGACTGAACAACAACAAAATCACAACAGTAACAACCTCAGCAGCAGTAGCAACAACACCTACAATAATTCATTCTCCTCAGACTAGGGGAAGTTCAGAGCAGTCCAATTCACTGGAGAATATCAAATGAAAATTCACTGGACTGGGTTCTGCATGTAAGGAACTTGGAAGTCACTACTTTGTCCTAACAACAAGTAAAAAGCTGAAGAGACTGGAAAAACAACTC